CCTCACCTCACCAGAAAGGTCAAAGTCAAATGTATGTTTTCATGGAAAACATCTGCTAAAGATGCTTACGTGATAAACAAAACGGCTGACAATACTCAAAAGAAAGACTTTATCCTCAACTCCCTCCTTTGCTTCAACAGACCTGTATCATGTTGCATAGACTAGATCCTCTTCTAGAGATTTGGAATTTCTTAACTACAGATATTGATTTTGACCCGACTACCTCAGAGTATGCTGTTAATGATAACCATAACAGCAGCAGCAGGCTACTTATTGTTTTGTACATCCATTTATTTGTAGTTTAAACTGTATGATCTCAACAAAGCATGCTGTGGGATGTTTCTGTAACAGTAAACATCATCTCTGCATCACTCTCATGCAAATTGAGCAGGTTCACAGTATCATTATGGCGTTCTTTTGCAGGGCAGCCACCACTTTCATCAGAGTCCTTTGATCCGACCCACCTGGTTCCCATGTTACGGTCTAATGTGAACCCATCCATATCAATGACTTCCTGTTGTCTTGTTTCTGTCAGGCTCTCCAGCAGAGCTCTCCCCCAGCACTCTGTCTCCTGTCAATCACAGCATGGGTAAGATGCAAACAATACAGAACATGCAAGCATACCGTGTAGTAATACGTAACAGGGTCTAGTTGGATTATATACACAAACATTTTCCTCCACGTATGAACAGTGTTGTATCAAAAAGAGATGATTGAGATAAACTTAACTGACTCGATCGTCTACCACAGACCTGCAGCCGGTGACCTACTCTGAGCCAGCCTTCTGGTGCTCTATAGCCTATTACGAGCTGAACCAGCGCGTGGGGGAGACGTTTCACGCCTCTCAGCCCTCGCTGACAGTGGACGGATTCACAGATCCATCAAACTCTGAGCGCTTCTGCCTGGGTCTGCTGTCTAATGTCAACAGGAATGCCACTGTGGAGATGACCCGGAGGCACATAGGTATGGCACGGCATCGGGTAACCAATCATCTGTTAGCCACTTCACAGTTTGTTCTAGCTTTTTCAAAATGTGCCACTGATCAAGTCAGATCTTGTGTTCTAGCGTCTCTCTGTCTGCGTTCACAGGAAGAGGAGTTAGACTCTACTACATTGGAGGGGAGGTATTTGCTGAGTGCCTGAGTGATAGCGCCATCTTTGTCCAGAGTCCAAACTGCAACCAGCGGTATGGCTGGCATCCAGCAACAGTGTGTAAAATTCCCCCAGGTAAGGTGCTGAAGATGTCACTTGTGTAGCAATTTGGGGAATGTGCTGAAATTGACAATGAGGTACCCACAGAACAAAAAAAAGTATAGACTGGCTAGCTTGTGGTCATGAATATATGTGTGGAGCTGTTTCTGGTTCTGGTGCTGCCAAATGCCTCCGGTCAAGGCCAACCAGAGCCAATGATGCCCAACACACCACAGAAACTCTGGGGAATAATTAGCCACAGACACACAATGATCACAGCCAACCAAAGGCCAAAATGTTGGCTGTGAACCCACATTAACAGCTGGTCTGTTTGCCTCTTTGTTCCTTTTTTAGGTTGTAATCTAAAAATCTTCAACAACCAGGAATTTGCGGCCCTGCTGGCTCAGTCGGTCAACCAGGGCTTTGAGGCGGTTTACCAGCTCACCAGGATGTGCACCATCCGCATGAGCTTTGTCAAAGGCTGGGGAGCCGAGTACAGGTGAGCACTGCCACCGCTTTAGTCAATTTGGCTGTTTTTAATCGGTGTATAATTGTTTATCTGTCGTAGCATATCGCGACATGGAAAATTTATCTGAAACTTTTACATGAGGGATTGATTCTGACTAATGTTTTACAAACTCAACCTAAACACAAGAGTTGCACGTTATGGTCTTGGACAGAAGACTTAAGTCAAGTTTGGCGTCGGTATTAGCATGAAGCATCAAATGTCTCGTGTTGTAAGGAGTGACGAGGCTGTGTCAGCACAGACGTCAGACATTGAAATGTACATTTTTGGTTTCCAGGCGGCAGACTGTCACAAGTACTCCTTGCTGGATTGAGCTGCATTTGAACGGCCCCCTGCAGTGGCTGGACAAGGTTCTGACCCAGATGGGTTCTCCTTCTGCACGCTGCTCCAGTATGTCCTAAACAGCTAAAGAAACGCCCCCAAAAAAACGCAGCCCCATTACATGATCATTAAATTCCAAACTTGTGAGTCCTTTCATGAAAAAAAAAAAAAAAAAAAAAATGGAAACCCCACAGAATGAATTTTCTGTAACATTCATAGTATTTGTGGCCCAGTTCCAGATCTCTCTCTCTCTCTCTCACACACACACACACACACACACACACACACAAACAAACAAACAAACAAATGCACCTACACTGTTGCACTCACACACACATACAGACTTTTCAGTAAAAAAAAGAATTGGCACTTTGTTACCCATCTATGTCATGCACCTTGTTAAATTGCTTTTCCCCAAATCCTTGATATTAGATCTATTTGTGGTACAAATAAAATGTATATTGGTTTTTAGTCCAGGAAGTAGGGGAAATACCAAAAATATCTGTGAATATTTTCTCAGTATTGAAGATTGATTTTATGAGTAACACAAGCTTGAATGCTAAATGAATTTTGTTCCAGCCCACCCCAACCATTGTTCTGAACCTAAGTTTACTTTTCTCTGGGAAACTTGGCCCCATCTTTTGTCAGGGGGGAGGTGGCTCGGTGAAGAACTGATGGCCTTGGCGGCCGCTTTCCTCTGAAGGAAACGCCACAATGTGTTTATAAAATTTGAATTGACTTCGGAAGAATGGCCCTTTTTTTGTAACTCTTGATGTGTGTCGTTATAAGACGCACTTCTTAATGGACAAATAGGAATGTTAGTAAGTAATTCCAAAAACCCCAAACGAACTGCAAACTTGATCTGGATGTAGTTTATTTCTTTGTCATTATATGGCACTCTACATGTCCTTGGTTTAGTTGATTTACATCCCCACTGAACAGCCTGGTGTGGAAGCTAATGAGATGTTAGCCAGGCTTTGCAAGGTGCACTGGGCAGGGACCAGAGAACATCAGCTGTTGTCAAAAGCTTCTTTTGTTTTTCTCTTTTTGACTTGACACTGGGAGTCCTGGGGCTCTCCAAGGTGAAGCATTAAACTTCTCACCAGGAGAAATTGAAGGTATCAATGAATTCATTCTGTTTTTAGCCTATATCCCCATTGTTTTGCTACTTTTTTGTATTCTCATGTATTTTTATATATAAATATACTTAAAATTTTCTGTCGTTCACTTTTTATTAAAGTGATATTTTCAAGACCACAGCTGTTTCTAAAGTGACATGGAGGGCATGGAGCATTCCTTTATTTTACCCAAAAGGTTTAGTTTGAATTTATTTACAATTGCAGCTCTTTGTCTTGGTAAAAAAAAAACTTTAAAAAAAAACTCACTGCCCCACATGATGTGTAGCCCGTTTCTATCCTTTTGTTTTTCCAAAGAAATCTGGTGCATTTAAAGTACACAAACCCACAGATTTAACTGAAACCCCAAATCTACTTCCCTGTAGTGGTTTTAATGATTCCAGAGGCATGTAAAACTTTGTAATGGCCATTCAGTCAGTCATCTCTTCACTTTTTTTGAACAACACACGTGACCTCTTGTAGCCTTTTGGTGCTTAGTCAAGCGGGTTAAGGGTAACCAGATACAATTGGCTTTTAAAATGTTACAGAAACCTGGGTGGAGAGAGCGATTTTCTTCCATGAGAAAAGAAGAGTGAATGTGCCTGCACACGAGGACATTCTGTGTTAATGTGTGTATTGTATTTGTTCTGTCTATAAAATACAGTATTTACAACAAGACTTATTGGCTTATTAAACTCTGCCATTATTGTCATTACGTGGCTGTTGCGAGTTTAACATGTTTCCTCCCCTCCCTTCTTTTTGATGTAAATGTGTTTACCTTATGGCACTAGTGATTGTACTTTAAGTGCACCTAGTGACATTTGGATTTGGGGAACTGAACCATGGGTTAGGGTCCAGTGTTACATTGTTTTTATCTTTGGCCTACAACATATGAATGTGAAAAAATACATTACAGAAACTGACGTGGACCAGACGTACATATACATAACAGTAGTACAGTATGTGTGTATTTAACAGTAATCTTTTTGCAAAGCAGTCAGTACAGTAGATGTCGCAGTTGTTTTACCAGTAGAGGGCGGTATTGATAGAGCAGTTGGTTTTTTTTCTTCTTTTTTTTCTTTTTTTTTCTGACCATAAGCTTCTCAGGCGTGTGGCATATTATGCAGACTTCATACTTCAAAACACTAATAAAGATTTTTATTCTCATGATTCTTTATGTTGTGTGCGTATCTTGAATGTATTAAGGATATTTGTCACTGAAAACACAATTGAAGACTGGTAACATGGGTTTAGTCTGCAGTAACAGCTGCTCTAAGCAGGGTGGTTTACGGTATGTTTAAAGAGTTGTACAGATAAACGGTAGCTGACAATATCTACACTTTTTAACAATGAAGGAAATTAACTAAATTTACTCCAGGGCTGTACTTAAGTACACATTTGAGATTCTATTTCTAAATTGTATTTTTACTTAATTCTGCTCGACTTCAGAAGCAACATTTTTTACTCCCAATACATATATCTGACAACCAGTTAGTTTGTTTTTTACATACAAAGAATCTTTCTTTTCTTACAAATAGAACCACTTAACAGTACGTAAGTTCTTAAAGAAGTTGCACTGTGAACAGACACAAGAATCATATTTATTTCAGGTAATGCTAACTTAGACAATGGGAACTGTGCTTTCATACATTTTGAATGCAGGATGTAGAATACTTTCACATTGTGTTATTACTACTGTAGTAAAGGGTGTACATCCCACTACTGATTCATTTAAAGTACATTATATTTATTGTAAACTGGATTTACTGTACGTAGTCATATTTTTAAGTACTTTTACTCTACATGAGTAGACTTGTGTGTCTATTATCTGTCTGACAAGCGCACGCTGTCATTCGGTTTGACCTTCCTCAGCCACCGTAGGCTACGTCAGAGGTAAATACTGTCTGTTAGCCCACCACTAGCTAAGCTTAGCTGTGAAGACAACATGGCTTTTACTGTGTACTCTCTCATTCAAGCAGCAATCCTGTGCGTCAATGCTGTCGCTGTATTGCACGAAGAAAGATTTCTTAGTAAAAGTAAGTGGATGTAGTTTAAAGTGTGTGTGGGTGAAATATAAATTAAGCTAGCTAATGCTAGCTAGCTAGTTAGTAACTTAATTAACAGCTAACTAAAACAGTTGTAAAAACATTAAACAATTAGGATTTATAGGGGAAGGATTGTGTTATTTAGAGGTACAACCTCTAATAATTGATAAAGAATGTTTTGTGTTAATAACAAAGCTGCATGTCTATCCCTCTGTGTGTTTTAACCATCTCTAGTTGGCTGGGGAGTAGATCAAAGTGTCGGAGGCTTTGGTGATGAACCAGGCGTCAAAGTGCAGCTAATGAACCTGGTCCGCTCTGTGAGGACAGTGATGAGAGGTTAGTGTCTCTCTGGCACCATGTGTGGTGTTACACACAGTTTGTGTAACGGTGAGTAACACAGGAGCCCAGTGGGACTCCTCTTGGCTCTCATCGTGTCATCTATTATCTTTATTTTGCTCCACAGTGCCGTTGATTGCAGTGAATGCAGTCTGCATAGTGCTGCTGCTTCTGTTTGGATGAGGAGGAAGAGGAGACAAACCAGTCTGCTGTCGGGAGAACATCTCCATCACCTCAGGAAACCTTCTGCAGAAACATTGGATCACTTTGACTCACAACATGTCTCCTGTCAGCCTGAATGGGGATATTATAATTTAATATTTCACATCAATACATGGGATATTTATCAAGGCCTGTTTTGTACAGCACAGTAATTCAAAATAAATACATGCAGCTATTTAGAATGGTTAACATCCTTCTTTTGAATAGCACAATAAAATGCTTAATATTAAACACTTAATGTGTCTATGATTTAACTATCAATATATATTAAAAAATAAAATAACTTTCACGTGGAAGCTGACTGTATAATGTTTTCAATGTATACGCTGAAAACATGTAAATTAATTTTTGTATACGTGCTCTGATTGTTGAAATGCTGGCAAAGAAAAGATGTTTTTAAAACTCTCTCTAAGTGTATTTACGTCTCTCATTTCCTGAAATAGTCGAATCTGTTGTGTTTGTCCCAGCTCGCCCTCCGTACTTTTGACAGTGTCGTGGACATTGATGTCCGCTCGTGTTTGTGTTTACTTCTTTAGTCCAGACCGATTTACAATTAAATTAAATACATTAGTGAATTAAAATGTAGCGATGTTTGCTAATGCATTTATTAAACCCACGGCGTTGTATTGTAATAATTAATTTGAGTAATAATGGGTAATGCACAGAGTTCCATTGTTGCCTCGCTCTCTGTATCTTGTGTGTATTTAGTTTATGTTCACATTTACTGCTCTTATAAGTTGTTGAAAACAAATGTACTGAACGAGAGACTCCCAAGTGTTGTGTACCTTTACATCAAATGTGTGTCCAAAGCTCTGACTCGGAGGACAGGCTACTTGCACACAGCATCTACAAGGAAGCGTGAAGTTGTTTACACGGTCCTCAACTGCAGGTAAGCACGGTCCACTTCCGCTGAAGTTTTAACGGGACTAAACTGTCTGAGAGTAGACTGCTGGTCATTCACATTTTGAGTCAGCGTATTTGTCTTTAAAAGGCTGGAGACTCCCTTGTTGAGGAGCTTCTGCGATGCTGCAGGTTATGGTTGGGATTATCCAGACACAGAATATAGAGACATCCCAGTGTGCTTCCCAGAGATCCTCTGCCGCAGACTGCTGCTTATGGTGTTAACTGATGAAAACTTCAGACTCAGCCCAGCAGGTAAGACACAACACACATCAGCAGGTCTCTTTAAACAGATGATTAAAGCTGATCTTTTTGTAAGCTGTCTAATACACTAGAACACACATGTTGAATACATTTGGATAATTCCCACTGCCCTAATTTCCACGATTTAATGAATGCTTATAATAAAATGGTGATATGATGGTGAATTTCTTTTGCAGGTCTGTTTCGTGTGCGTCAGAGTTTGAAAACCCTCCAGCCAGTTGATGAACTGAAGAAGGGTCCGTTCATGCTGCAGGTCAGAGTTCAGGAGTACCGGCAAATTGATGCAGGGGTGGAGGTCGACATCGGTCTGTGTGCCACTTCTCGTACCGGATGCCCAGTGTGGGAAAGCGTCCTGACACTGCTGTCCAAAAACGGGCTCCACAAAGCCAGCAGATGCTTACCCAAGAATGCACACGAATGTGAGCAATAATCTGGTGATTTCTGCTTAGATCTCAGCTTTTTCATTTTCACGCAACAAACACCAATTATTGTAGTCGTGTTTTTAGTGGCAGAAGCAAAGTCTATCTCTTTCTGTTTCTGATCATTTGTCACTTGACAGGCCAACCAGATGAACCTGCGCCAGAAAATGTGAAGCAGATAGAGGTCAGAGTTCCCAGGACTACCGGACTGCAGTGTGTTTGGTACTTCTCTGACTACTCACCCTATCGGCTCCTCTCTCTATCGGCCAGGCTCTTTGGCTCCAGATCGCAGACCGCACCAAGTCTCTGGATGCTGTCTGTCTGCCTGGCTGAAATAGAAAAGCACAAAGGTAAACGATTTTATGAGAAGACAAAACTTACTGATAGGTTAGGTTGATGAAACACTGTAGTAATTTAACCTGGAACCAATTCATGAAAGCTTTTATTTTTGCTGTTAAATATTTTTTTTAAAAAGGAAACCAGACATTTTCTTGTTTCTCTGTTCTTTCCTTTTCTTGCTACGGAGAGTCAACATGTCTGCTGTGAAAATGATTCGAGCCATACTGGTGACATCTTCTCATTGCTCTGTTGTGTCATCAGGGGTTGGAGTTATCACTGCTCCCATCAACGTCACTGCCGAATTTAAGGAGCCTCTTTTGGTACCAGGCAGAGTGAAAATCAAGATTTGGGAGAAAAACGGGGATCAGTCTCCTGCCCAAGACCTCAGCTTCCACATGCAGCAACATGGGAGCAACGCATCTCACATGATGGGATTGATTTCTAGGTGATTGACTAACTTATACGGTTAATATTTGTAGTTTCGTCAATACACAATAAATGATTTTCTTTCTGTTTTGTTCTGCTTCAATTTGGATAACCCGTTGTATAATCAATGAAATGCTGTATGTTTCATAGATCTACTGTACATGAGCACTTTGTCAGATGGCATGTCTACCGGTTGACTATAGGCTAATGCAGACACCATCCCTACAGGGAAGGAAGACTTTTCAATATTTGACCCCTCTGTTATTCCAGTTTGCAGCTTTCTTGTGTGTGAAGGTCTGTCCTCCTGTATTATTTATTGGAACACAGTCAGTGAATGTGAAGCCATGCATCCCTGCACCACTGTAACATTTCATGAAGGAATCATAAAAAGGAATCATGTTAGTGCGTTTTAGAGGTGCTTGTAGGCAGATTTTGTTACTTTTGGACAGGCTAGCTGTTTCCTCGGTTTCCAGCATTTATGCTAAGCTAACTGGCTGCTAGCATTCCTTCTTTAATAAGAATAATTGTCCGATAAGTGAACGTTCATGTTGTGTTATGTAGATACTGATTGTTTCCAGGTGAAAATATGTGCAGCCATGAATGTTAAATTCGTTGAACTTGGGGGTGGGGGGAAATAAATAGTGGTGTGATTTAAATGGGTAGAGCGTCCCCGTGACTGCCTCCCTGCACACTGAGCAGTTGTAGTTTATAAGATGAGGGGAGGGCGTGTGTGTAGAGTCTCTGTTTATAGACGACCAGACGGAGGAGAAATCAGCTTCACCAGTTTTACTACAGATCGGAGGGACACATGCTGGCTCATCCCACTTCCACCATGTGATTTTCATAACAGCAACTTGGGGAAGATTTCAACTGTGGAAGGCTTAGGGTAAAAGATTTTTTTAAATATTTGAATGCAAGTGGATTTTTGTGAAAATCAAGCTTTATGCAGGATTCTGTATTCTTGTTAAATCACTGTAATTGATATATAGCCTACTAGTGTATGGGACACAGATGTTCTGTCTCCCTACAAAAGGAACTTCATTAAATACTTCAACTCGTGGTTGGCAATGAAGTAATTCAAACTAAGGCGAGTCTTGGGTCTTTGATTAATTCAACATTATTGTCTTATTCCTCCTCGTCAGTATAATTTCCCTCCGCCACAGGTAAAGCTGTTGTCAACCTTCTCATAGTCACTGCTGAGACAAAAACAGCCACCAACCAAGAGCAAACTAAAGCGGTAATATAGTGAGTGTGTTTAAATCAAATCAATTTTTCATCTATTGTTCCTCAGCTACCACCACATGCTGGAGTGGAGTAGACTCTTGCTTGAACATTGTACATTGCTGTTATTATTCATTTATAGAGTCCCGATTCTGTCATGCATATGAGTCGGTCAACTGTAAGAGGGTCAGACAGCTAAGCTCCTGTGCAGAGTGGATTGCAGCATGTAGAGACGTAAAGTGGGAACACTCCTCTTGAAAGAGTCTTTTAATCTTGTATTTAATGTAAATATGTCATTTGTCACATGTGTTCTTCTTTAAATAGTGTATGTATAATAATGTAATGTATAGTTCAAAACAAATTTGAACATGAACTTTTCAGAAACAGTATCTGCTACTGTAGCTTTGGCTGATGGTAGATTTCTACAGTACGGACATTTAAAACACCTGCCATTCTGCCACTATATTCACCACTTCATCTCTTTTGTTTCCGTGTGTAGAAGAGGAGGGCGTGTGTGGTTTTTAGAGAGATGAGATGACACGAACACACTCCTTCCTTGGTTAGAGCACTTTAGAGGAGTTCATCCGTCTCCTTCTTCAAAGAGCTGATCCTCTGGGAATTCAAGTTATTTTTGCTTCTTTTAAAAGTACCAGCTTCATTTATTTATTCAGAGAGGCCAATACTAAATGACAGCTTGTTCTCTCTTACTGTTGTTCATAAAGTCCATTGCATTTGCTATTACCTGCCCCAGTTGCTGTGTTAGTGGAAGATGTGACTAATATTAATGCTGCAACTGCACAACAGTACCATGTATACTAGGGGTGAGTGATGTCTGGCACAGTGTATGTTATTTGTTATAGCGATACAAAGGGAGAAACATTAAAGGAAAACCCTGAATAGATTAGTGCAAAATACAGAGCTCAATAAATAATCATTCAATAATGAGTATGAAAATTATGTAAATGGCGCTACAGCCTTTATAGTCACTTGATCTCAACCCGGTTGAACACATATTTGACATATTAGAGCAGCGTGCAAGACCACCGCCATCATCATTACGTATAAATGAGGGAATATCTTTTGGAAAAATGGTATTCATCTCTCCAGTAGAGTTCCAGTGGAAACAATGCTGAGGAGCATTGAAGCTATTCTCGAGGTTCATGATGGCCCAACACTTTACGACCCTCAAGACCCTTTGGCTGTGGTTACCCTTGTCTTTTCAATGTGACTTTTACAATAAGATGCGCCAGATTGGAACTCAGCTATGTCCACATTTGTGTGTCCACACTTGACATTTAAATGAGATCTGCCCGATTGGATAGTGATCGGATATATGTAGTGATCAAAGGAACACTTTAGCTGGCCCCGTTCGACGCGAAGGAGCAGCGGCTCTACTCTGAACCCCCTCCGGATGTCTGAGCTCCTCACCCTATCTCTCTCATTCTTTCAGTCACTACCCAAACTCATTTCAGTCACTACCTATATTCATACAACACCCGTATTACTGCTGACACTGCACCACACCTGTCCATCTCCCACTCCATCTTGCTATAACTCGTGAACAAGACCCAGAGATACTTGGAACTCCCTCGCTTGGGGCAGTGACTCACTCCCAACCCGGAGGGCGCAATCCACTGTTTTCCATCAGAGAACCAAGGCCTCAGACTTTGAGGTACTCAGTTTTATCCTGACTGCTTCACACCTGCAAAAATGTGACAAAGTAGTTGGTATGTAATTGTTAATCTTAACTGAAGGTCTACTTACTAGCTCTTTCTGTAGCATCATTAATAAAGCTGGCTAGTAAATAGATATTGAGTTAAGTTTTTTTCAAACTACTATTTCCAAGGCCAAGTATTTATTTTCAATTTTCTTTTTTGTCTCAGTGCAGCAAACAAAAATACATGAAGAAGCAAGGAAAAGGCAACACTGCTGCCAGCATCCCCCTCTCTTCCCCACCAGGGAACAGCGGTGTGCAGGTCTACCATGACTACCAGAGTGTGGCTTTTAAGATGTATTCTGGAAACGGTCATGCCATAGAAAATGGCTGTCACACCAGGAGAGACCGGGTTACCAGCCGAGATGGTACAGGCAAGATGTCCTCCATTCCAGACATCATTTCTAACAGCCAGGACCAGAGGTACAGCATGAAAGACCAGAGCGTTCAGAGGAACTCCCCATGGATGATGGATTCCAGCAGCCTAGCATACTCAGGACCAGAGGACAACTCCACAGACCCACATGAGACCCTGACAGAGACTTCAACTCTGACCTTTGTGGATGTTCACACCCTGGAGGAATCGGCAGAGAACCACAGCCTCCATGGGGTGGGGTTGGTTTACCTCAGGGAGTTTGTGCTGATAGATGATGACGATGACGGAGACATGTCGCTGAGAGAGAAAACAGTGATAGACTTGTCCGTCATGGATGGAAAAGCTGCTGACCTGGTGTGTGGGAGGCTGCTGTCTACCTCCAGTGGCTCCCTGTCAGAGAGTATGGAAGAATTTGCGGCTCCTGAAGCGCCTCCACCTGAGGAAGTTGAGACGGCACATGAAAAGAAACGCTGCTGTTTCTGCACTGTTTTATGAACAAGCAGGACTCTGCAGGAGTTTGTGTGAAGCTGTTCTAGACGACTCGGTTCTCTGACTCGGTTCTGATCTCTCTGGCTAAACACTACTACACACTGGTTGTATACTGTATATGTGTTCCTGTTGAATTGCAGAGCAGATTTATAGGTTTGGTGACATACCATTGTGTCGTTTTTTCATTTATTGACTTTTTGTTTTACTCAATATTTCTGGCATTCATTTTTACAAAGCCTTTATTCAACATTAAAACAGCAAACATATTTGTGTTGGTCTCAAATGTCAGCCACTAATGTTTTTTTGAACACTCCTTATTTAAGTAGCCTAATTATGAAATATATGTATGCTGAGACGCATTCATGGATTCACATTGAAAGAATTGGATAATTTGGGTTACGCTAATCATTTTCAAGTTTAACAAACACATCTGATGTTTATTATAAAGTTTTTATACAAAAAAAAGGCATATTCCTATAATATTTCATCTGAAGGACATCTACTGGTGAAAGTAGGACTGAACTGTATCTGCCATGTGATTATCTTGTGGACATATTGAGGGACATTGCTAAACACCAGGCAATATGGTATATTCTGCACCTGTTTTTCACCAGGTGATTTTGGTTCGAGGCTAGCTTACACTTTCAAGTCATAAATCATGTGTTGCTGAGAAAGTAATGCATTGTAGGCCTGTGGAATAAAGCCTTAGTTCAGGCAGAACTGATTGGCATGAGCTGTTTCTTTCATGCCTCCCGATCATTGCCTCATTCACAGGTGTGTAGCTACCAGCTGACTGAAAACATCCAATTGTATACATGCAGGTGTACAGCATGGCCACTATTGCTCTGCCTCCTTATGTGTTATATCATTGATATTATCATGTTCATGTATGTTCCTATTGAGGGGGAATCATTCTTTCAACAAAAACATGATGATGATGCGTATTTGAGTCTTTTCCATTAAATCTAACTCTCGAACCATTAGCTATAAATGGTCAATCCCCTGATGCAAGTGTTGCTGACTGAACTTGTGTGCTTTGGGCAGGGGTTAATCAGTCCAGTCCAGCAGGCACTGGTGTGAGGCGGTAGCTTGTTGGTTTGAGTGACAGAGAAACCCCACTAAGGACCATGCTTGGCTGACAGATAGCAGCTCACCACACTTATCTCCCCCTCCCACAGCACGCCAACTGACACCCCATCAGCACCAACTACAGACCCCGTGGTAGGACGAGGAGGGATGTTGGTTTCATTGACTTCAAAAACCTGTAAACATTTGAGGATTATATTAAAAAAGGATCAATTCAGTTAGTTTAATAAGGGTTACTTTAAATATATAGGGCAGAGGGTGAAGGTGTACTATGAAATTCATAAAATGTCATTAATATTAACTTATTATTGATGTAGTTTCTAAGTCATCTAGTTAAAGACCCTTAACTAGCTCATAATGCGGTTAATGTGCTTTTAAAAAACATCTAAAATGCCACTTTGTTTTTTAAAAGCGCATCCAACAGGTTCATCGGGCCAAATATAGCCGTTATCAGCCACCGCAGCATGAGTGTGCAGTTCACCAGAGTGAGCACAGAGCGTATCAACACATGTGAAGTCCAACCGAATGTGTCAGGGAATGAAAGATTAAGCCCCCAAAAAAAACCACCAGCTACCAGAAGACCATTGACAAAAGGAGCTATTTCTCAGAGTGACCTCAGCTCACCCACTCAGTCCTCTCAATCCTGGTTATCAAATCCGCTCAGTGCCATCATGGAACACCAAACGGAAGTAAAATACACAAAAAAAGAAGATGGGGAGGTTAAGCGTCTGGTGAAGTGAAGAGAGCGTCAGGGAGACTCTCAGAGAGGATGGACGAGAGACACGGAGCAATGATCCTGGTTTTTCTGCTCTGTGTCATTGCAGGTAAGAACACCGATGACAATTTTTTTGCTGCATCATTCTCACTGAACGTGATTATCTATTATGCATTTTATTTTTAACGTTTCACTTTATGTTTCACTGAAGATTGCAGAAGGGGTGAATAGAACGATATTGACTGATGGATGTTCTTTCTATCCTCTCAGAAATTCCAGCAGAAGGCCACATTCTGGATGTGTGTCCCACCTGCCACGCTGACGCCACATGTGACGAAAAGTCAGACGGCTCTAGAAAAGTTTGTAACTGCAAGTACGGCTTTGTTGGAAATGGGAGAACCTACTGTCAAGGTAAGAAAAAAACGTTGTGTTTATTTATCAAGTGAAGCTAAATGAAGTCTTTTCGTCTCAACCTCTTTTCTCTTTTCCTATAAGAAAAGGGGTTTGCAATGTTAATAATAAGAGTCTACAGCTGCAGTGGATCTGTGAGGCTGTAGTTCGGCATATATTGTCAATATATCCTCAATTTTCTTGGAGATCACTGAAGTCAGTAGGATTTATTTTTTGGGGACCATTCATGTCTGTAAAAAACTTCATGGCAATCCGTTCTATGGACATTTTGACTTACCAAAGTAGAAAAAGCACCGTAGGAATTAATAACATTTGATTTCAACTCCCTCTCTCCTATGTTGAAGTGCAGTAAATATTTTTTCTTCCAGATAAAGATGAGTGTCAGATAGGTGCCAGTAAGATCTGTGGGCAGGACACCACCTGCCACAACACATATGGCAGCTACTACTGTACCTGCCTGGCTGGCTACAGCCCTTCTAACAACATGACCGTCTTCATCCCGAATGATGGAACCCACTGCCAGGGTGAGTTTAGGCTGGACGTGGGGCTTTTTTTTTTACAGGACTGTTGAAGGCATAACTATACAGAGAGGTATATATGACAACATGAAGTTTGGACTTTTACCTGTAAAACAAGCCTTTCATCATCGTTTTTATGTCACATGCTCATTTACCAAGTGTTGTGCAGACAAAGACGAGTGCACGATCACAGGCTCGTGTGGAGAGGGAGCTCAATGCAGGAATCTTGAGGGCAGTTTTGACTGCAGCTGCCAGCTGGGATATCAAGTCCACAACGGAGCGGAGCCCTTCCACCCTCGCAGAGACAAAGCTTCATGCAAAGGTAAGACAGCATTAATGTGTTTCGAATAAGCATAATTACAGTTATGAGTATATTAAATTGACACTTTTCCAGTGTATGTAGTATGGGTTTGGGACTCGGCTCCAGACAATCAAGCAAGAGGGCAGTAGATGGACTTTCAAACCCTTTCAAAGGAGATTAAATTCCTACTGTGTATTTTATCTGTCTTGCTCTACACAAATCGTACTCCAAAGACACACATGTAGTTAATTGCAAATTCAGTCGAACCCATCCCTTTATGTCATTAGTGTGTACCCCTCACTTTGGTCCTGGCTGGTGTAACAGTGGCAGTGCCTGCTGCGTGTGGGTGGGCAAACAGCTGGATCTAATCTTGACTTTTGTTTGTTCTTGTCCCGCTCAGTGGTTGACTGCGGCCAGCCTGCCTCAGTGAAGGACACAGTACTGCTGTCAGTCACAGGCACCACATACAGCAGTGTGGCCATGTTTGTCTGTGATAAAGGCTTTGTGTGGAGGAGTGGAGACAACAGCTCTGTGTGTGGAGCTGATGGACTGTGGAAAGGACCCAACATGGTCTGTGAAGGTAACAAAACACACATAAAATATATATACACATATATATACTGTACATACACAGCTTCTAGCATTATATTACTCTGTATGACCATTCGTCACCACAATGCAACTTTGTACGTTGCTTTCTCTGCTCTCTGCTTGTGTTTTTTTTATTGTTTGGCTTTTCAGGAGTTCTTAACAGTGTCAATTAAATGTATCATAATAAAAAATGTAACCATAAGTTCTTTTAGCCATGCTAGCTGTCGGCTAGCTCTGCAGGACTTTGCTACCCACACAGGCTACTAACTAGCTCTACTTCTGCAGATTTCAATACAGATTTGTTGCTCACAATGTAGCATTGTCAAGGAACAGTATAAACATGTTTAACCACAGGTGTGTAGTACTAGTTTGCACATGTGCAGTACCAATCTCAGCATCCGATCCAGCATCATCAGGCTGTATCGGTAGCAAACCCGATGCTGGTATCGGGTTTGGAAGAACTCTAACATGGATCATAAAACATGTTACATGTTATTCCTTGTAGAGGCCATGTGTGGAAGTCCTCCGATAATTGAATCCACTGAGCAGGTGTGGGACAGTCATTCAACCCCTGGCAGCACCGTGCTCTATGTTTGTAAAGAGGGCTTTTATAACAAAGGAGGACTTAATATATCGAAGTGTAATGAAAACGGTCAGTGGACCCCGCCAAGTCTGTCGTGTCAAGGTAATTAAAACAATGACTGAAACCATTCAAATCATTTTCTTTTACAATATAAAATGGTAGGAAATTATTTCTAGCATTTTCTGTTGTGACATATTGTGAAGCTAGTTTTAGGAAACATTACTTCATTAAAAGTGTTTCACTCAATAATGACACTAGCTTGCACACCCACACGTGTTTTCACTTGTCCTGGCCTATTACACGTTCCAAATGAATCACTTTTTCTTTTTACTTGTATTACATACTGCAGCTGCCCTTACAAAGTACATACTGTTGCACATCCAGTCGTGACACACTACTTCCTCATAACATTGCACCTTCAACGTTGACCCTCTTATTTATATATCTGCTGCAAAGAGGATTGTGGGTCGGAATACCCAGATAAGCATACTGGCTTTGTATGCTGCAAAATGCGACCGGAATGAAGCAGCACATCCTGTTATTTTTTTGAATACTGACATTTGACATACTAAATCTTTTTCTGGCAGAATAAATAGTATTGTAGTATGGGTATTGCAATGCACAGTTTGTCTGCACATGGCTACGCAGTCCTGAGAAGAGCTGCTCAAAATAAGTGAAATCAATGTAGCGTGTTGGGTGTGCAGGGCAGCGATCCTTATGTGAACATAACTAACACTTTTGTCAAACTGCTAAGAATTCATTAGATATAAAGAATGTTTTGTATGTACATATATAATATATATTTATTTTTCTGTATAACCCACTGTGTGCATAATTTTCTGTCCCAGACATATTATGTGGGGATCCCCCTATACTGCCTCACACTGGGCAAGTGTGGGATGGCAGCTCCAGCCCTGGAAGCACAGTGACGTACTACTGTAAAATAGGATTTTATCCCAGTGAAGGAAATAACATGTCACTGTGCTCAATTATTGGTAACTGGACAAAACCAAACATCTCATGCCAAGGTAAAAAAAAACCTTCCTCCAAAATGTTGTTAATGCTGTGGTTTAGCATTGCTTCTCCATTGCTGTTGAAGATTCAAATAATAACTGTTTTCACCCAATTAAATATTTAAATTTCTATACTTGCAGAAGTTGACTGTGGTGTGCCGCCACCCATCCCCCATTCAATCATGCTGTGGGATAAAATCTCCACTTTGGGCTCTCAGGTTGTTTATCGGTGTAACTATGGATATCGCAGTGTTGGAGAGGGAGATGTATCAGTTTGTACTGCCATTGGAGATTGGGATGGAGCCTCACTGCTCTGTACAGGTAATAATGACATTAATCTACACAATGGAGTATTGGGTTACCTGCCTCCAGTAAAAGTTATAATACAATCCTCATGTCGGCAAGACGACATCATTTCCATGCTGTAATTGAACAGTATATGAATGTTACTGTAATCATTCACAATCACTTGAAACTGCAAAATGTGTAAATTCATCTGCAATGACTTGCTGTCTTTTTGTTGTAGAAATCAATTGCCATGAGCCTGTTTTTAAACCTCGTGCTAAAATGCTATGGGACGGCACATCACACATTGGCAGTGTGGTTTATTACCAATGTGAGGAAGGATATTACACCAAGAGCCTGAGAAACTACTCAGTGTGTGGAGACAATGGACTGTGGGAGGATATTGAGCTATGGTGTGAAGGTGCAACGTTTGATGACAGATATATTGATAAACTACTGTTTTCATTTCAGAATATTTGTAGCAATTCGCACATAATATTTAGAGCGATGGTTTGAAATTTTCAAAAAGCAGCTGGTTAGCTTTGCATAGCATAAAGACAGGAAACAGGCTCTGTTCAACGGTAACAAAATCAACCTATTAGCACCTTAAAAGCTCACAACATGTTATATCGTGTTTGTTTAATCCACACAAATACCAAAGTGTAACTATTTCTCGGCCTGATTGCAGTGACGTCCTCGAGTCTACACTGGTTGCCTGGTAATCTCACAGTGACAATAAGACTCCACTCACTGCACTGGGCCAAGAAATAGTTCATTTGTTACCTTTTGAGTGCCATGCTAGCTGTTTTCCCCCTGTTTCCAGTCTTTGTGCTAAGCTACGCTAACTGGCTGCTAGCTGAAGCTTCATATTTACTGTAGAGACTTGAGCGTGGTATTGATCTTGTAACTCTGTGTAAGAAAGCAAATAAGCCTTTTCCCCAATATTCAAACTATTGCTTTAAAATAGAAGTATTAGTATATTGCTATGCTCTGTAAATAGTTGAAGTATGAAAATCCAGTCCGCCAATTCTATATTCTATAAACTTTCATGTTCATATGAGGTACACATAAGTGTAATAAACACAAAGTTTGCTACTTGTTCTCATTATGTTTATGGAGGAATGAACTGTGCCATTTGTGTTTTTCTTTGTGATATATTGATAATTCAGAAATAAACTGCGGCCCCCCACTAACCCTCCCCCATACTAACCTCCGGTGGGATGGCACCAGTAGACCGGGCAGGGTGGTGCTGTATGAGTGCATGGATGGATTTTACCTGATGAGTGGAAACAATAGTTCAACATGTTTACTCTCAGGACAGTGGGGGAAGGTATCTGTGAAGTGCAAAGGTACAGTGATAATCTCTATAAGTGCATCTATTTGACTGCGGAAGAATCATTCTTGTTAACATGTTATTGACATAATTTAGTTGATGCGTTGATCTTATCTGGCAAGTAACTGATGAATGCTCTATATTGTCTCAGCTGTGGTTGGACGCTCCTTTGTATTTATTCCCGCTTGGGCTATACGTTGTGTGTTGTTGAGGTATATTGCTGAATAATGTTTTGAAACTTTCACATTGTTATGCTGGTGTGATTCTTTCCTTGGGTCAATCCACTGCTGACTGAATGTCGAGGAAACAACATGTTGCACGGCTTTTACCACCTGACGACTGATGGAATGTCTACGATATACTGTAATCATGCTTATAAGGCCTTTCAGTCAATTAGTTAACCAGTGCCATTGCTTTCCGACAGCTAAATGTGGTCCGGTTCCCTTCCTTGCCAAATCAGAGGTGATGTGGCATAACAGGAGTGTTGTGATCCACCGCTGTGTGGACGGATATCACAGCTGGAGGGGCAGCTATGTCTCTGTGTGTGGCAGCTCTGGGCTGTGGCAGAGAGCTACACTGAGATGCATAGGTGAGTAACAACACAACCCCATTAGGATCTGTAATATGTCAAATAAAAAGGGGAAGATTTGTGGTACCATCACTCTTTTTACATCTCTTACAGAAATAAAGCCACCTGTCAATCACCTATCTGTCCTTAATGAAAAATGTCTGCATTGGAGAGCAGAGAAGTATGAGGAGGATAAAGAAGTATACAAGGTAACAGATTTTATAATCCTTCTTTCACTGCCGTTGCTGTTTATCTCATCTCTATCTTACCATTATTGTCTTCATAGGAAAGTGCTTTCAGTGTTTTTTTACCTTATTATCTGGGTATATGTGAATGTGTATGGACAGTTAAGCATTTCTCATGCGATTACCATACTTTTTTTCCCCCTGATGCCACATTGCATATAACCGTTGCAGGTGACGTACATAGGATCCAGAGACTACGAGAGGTCCTTTCATGATAGAGGGAAGCGGTGTCTGAGCTCTAAGGCAGACCAGCTGGAACTCTGTCTGAACCTGCTTCCAGTCACAAACTACAGCATCTCCATCACCGCACTGTCTTCCAGATTCACTGCCACCATCTCCACTAACACCAGTTTAACAGGTATCATTGTACAGCAAACTCTCCTCTGACAAATGTCTCCCTGCATCAAAGTGAAACCAGGAGTTATCAGCATTTATGGAAATATTTAGGACTGATTGTATTGAATGTGATGCATTCTTCTTTATACTGAGCATAATAAGATTTGACAGTTCCCCCAGCACCAGTTGTCGACTACAGAGAATTTGAGACTCCTGTACCAACATTGAGGCTCCGCAGATCACCCAACACACTGGACCCATTAAGGTAACAATCAGCTCTATTGTTCTGCCAGGTTACAGAGGAAATTAAAACCCTATGAGATAAAACAAACAGACATGCTTAAATAAGTTTGATAATTCATAAATCTTTACAATAAATCTAGTTAATAGCAAAGAAAGAAAGAAAGAAAAGAAGATATAAGTGCTAGAGCTAAACGGATGAATCAGCAAGGTAGACGTATCAGCTGATATTAGCTTATTGCAGATATATCTGTATCAGTGCTTAGTTTGGCCGATTTGTGTAAAGAAAGCACAGTCCAGGAATTACAAACTAGGTTACAGGACATTCAGAAGTTTGTCCCCCAGAGGTCACTGACAAGTTGATTTATATACTGTATCCACCGTTTAGTATGGAAGTCCTGAGCGGAAAGTTTTTCACCTCTTTTTACAACTTTGCCCACCTGCTTCAAAGATAAAAAAAAAAAATTCTTTAAACGTTGAAAGATTATCCTGCAATACCGTTTTTCACCAGTTCTGAAGTCAGAATCACATGTACCACGTTACCTTTATGTCATATTCAGGTGTTACAAATCTTTCATGTAAAGAATTTAACGTGTTAACATAGCTCTATTTATGACCATACGGTAACAATTTCTTTGTTCTTCATTCTGCAGTTCGTACCAGGTGTCTGTGCTTCCTGTAGAGGGGATTATAATGTTTGACTGTTCCTCTCCTGCGAGCTCAGACATCTCAAGCAAATCAAAGTCCTCAACAGAGTACATCACTGCCCAGATTGATGTCAGACATGTTGGGACAGAGATGAACTTTACTGTAGGAGATGGACTCCACTATGGAGGCTTCTTCAATGCACCACTGGAGAACGGCAGGAACTATTATATCATCTTACGAGCTGTCAGCCAGTGGAAATCGGTGGGTCCAACTATGATACAATAAAGTATCAGTATAAAAATGTATTGACTTATAAACTGCAACAAACTTTGCAGTTTACTAATTGAATTACCTGAATGTTTTCTCTTCCAGGCTTTAAAAAGTTCCTGTGTCCTCTGGGCTAAAGTAAGAGGTAATTTACTGGCCAAATACCCAAATACTATAGTGTCCTTTTTTTAAATGATAAGATTTATCTTGGGAAATTACATAGTGTAGGCATCTGGATGTTATACGGTTAAGAGAGGAGAGAAAGAGGCTGAGCGAGGAGAAGGTGGTTCGGGCTGGTCTGGTTCGGTGTCGGTAGTTCACTAACGTTATGAGTAAAACCCAGAACGTGTTGGACTGATTTATTTATTCCTTATCATACAGCCACGTCGCTTACACTAGTAACAACATTCAGAAGGGAGAAGGCAACAGAAAGTATTTCAAATAAGTAGATGTAGAAAAAGCTCGTTGCCAGTTACTCACACGCAGCATTTCCTTGTTCCAGGCACATCCTATGTTCTGAGGGTTTCATCGCTGTCTGCTGCTGCAGCAATAGGACTGGTTGCCTTGGTCATTTTGGGTGGATACTGTTTCACCTGGTATGTAAGATGGTACAATAGAGTGTTATAACCCTGTTAATATTATTTTATGTGTGAAACAACTGTTATTTAATTAAATCAAATCTACACAGTCTGAAGTGATTCTAGTGTTTCTGGAATTTTCAAAGATGAAATAAATGCATGATCAGGGGACAATTCAAAAACTAATAACTATGACTGGTAATCACAGCCTGCAAATAGAATATTCATTTTTGATTTGTTTTCTGGTGACAAAATACAGTAATCCTGCATCATGCAAGTGGCCTGTTATATTTCACTATGAATGACTGTAACTTAGATGTTTTGCACACTTTCAGGGGAAAGACGGCACTTGAAATTGTAATTTATTGACCTGTTTTCCCTCTGTCGTCTTTTCCAGGTTTTTCAAGAGGACATGACACTCCTAAACTCCTTAATTGTCATTATGATGAATTCAATTACAGTCTTGACTTCCCATCTGTGCATTTTATTTTGTACATTTTGTAACTAATTATAATAAACTGTTTTTTTCACTTCAATAATAGTTGAATGATTAGTGGATGTCAATGTGTACTTGGAATGAAGCAATCCACTTTGTAAAGCAGACCATTTGTGACTTCACTGTTTGAGAAACCTTCTGACACACTCCCATGATCAGAGTCTACGGGAATAAGAAATAGATTACAAAACCAAGACTTTATAACTGAGCTATGTGCTTCAGTAGAGTTGAAGAGACTATATAGACCCCTAATAATGTATGCATTCAAACACAATGCCATGTCTCGTGAAGTTATGTATTAAGCCAGTGGTGTCCAGCCTATTTGAATTTGTGACCTTTTCACATCTTTAACAAAAGAGGGATATTTCTCTCCCACCTTGTTTAATTAGAAGTGAGAGGTGAGGATGAGGATGAGAGGTGAGGATGAGGATGAGAGGTGAGGATGAGAGGTGAAGAGTGAGGATGAGAGGGGAGGATGAGGACGAGAGGTGAGGATGAGGATGAGGATGAGAGGTGAGGATGAGAGGTGAAGATGAGAGGTGAAGAGTGAGGATGAGAGGTGAGGATGAGAGGTGAGG